CCCCCCCCGGGGCCCCGCAGCCCCTGCCGCCTGCCCGCCCCGTCGGGCCGCAGCCCCCGGTGGGGCCCGGGGCTCCGCTGGCACAGCCCGCACGGCCACCCGGCCTGACCTAGTTGGGTGGGTGCCCCGCTGCCAACCAGGAACCTCGCCCAGGCCTCCTTATCCCCTCCCGCCTGCCTGACCCAAGCGCCTGCTGCGGGAGATAACTCCTCATCCTCTCTCTCCTCAGACGGGCGCGTTTTGCTCCTGAACGCGCTCCTTCCCCTCTGCGGGTTTTGCTTTCGGCCTTTTTTCCCCCCTCTTGGACGTAACACCCAAGCCCCAAGGAGCTGGGATAACGTGGGAAGGTTCGCCGGCGGGGAAGAGCCAAGGCCGTGCCCTGGATGGAGCCTCCAAAAAGGGGTAGACTTTGCAGATGGGAAGTATGGAGGCAGAGAGGGGTGCTCCCTCGGTGCTCAGCAGGGAGGGACACCGCCAAGGCACCCACCAGCTCCCTGCAGAGCGCAGGCGGGTGTTAGAGCGGCTTGGGTGCTGCTGCCAGGAAAGGCAAGCAGGACGGGGTCTGCCTTCCCAGTGGGAAACCGGGCAGCGCTGCTTCAGGGGGAAGGCTCCCTGCCCGGCCTCATCCCAGGGAAACCAGGTCTGCAGGAGCACAGCTAGGCCTGCACATCCACCCTCAGCCCTGCTCCCTCGCTGGCAGTGCTGCCGAGGTGTGGTCCCTTTGTCTGGCGGCGCTGGGTGCAGGAGCCCCCTTTGGCAAACTCCCTCTTTCCCAGGGAGTCCCCCTGCGGCAGAGCTGCTCGCGGGGAAAGCGGCTGCAGGGGAGCGTGGGGCAGCAGGGGATGCAGCAAGCCGAGGGTGTTCTCTTCTGCCTGTCAGCGTTTCCCGCGGGATGGTGTTCCCGCGTCAGTGGGAAACGAGCAAGCACCCGCAGCACCCAGGGTCTTGGAGAGGGAGCTCCGGGCTTTGGGGCGGGAAGCAATGAGTCCTTCTGAGGATCCTTCCTGCTTGCTGTTTGTCGTGTTTCCCTGCACTTTGGGCATCCACAGGGTAGGGCTCAAATCTGGACCCCCAGGGAGACAGACAGATGTCTCCCGCTTCCTTTACACAGAGAGCAGCTGAAGGACCAAGGTAGGCCCAGCAGCACAGAGCTTCAGTTTGCAAAGCGTGGTCCGAGGGGGAACGGATCAAAACTGGAAGAGGGGAGATTTAGGTGAGACGTTAGGAGGAAATTCTTCAGTGTGAGGGTGGTGAGACACTGGAACAGGTTGCCTAGGGAAGTTAGGGAGTGTCCTCTCCCTGGAAGTGTTCAAGGGCAGGTTGGATGGGGCTCTGAGCAACCTGGTCTAGTGGGAGGTGTCCCTGCCCATGCACAGAGGTTGGATCTAGGTGATCTTCAAGGTCCCTTCCAACCCAAACCATTCTGGGATTCTACACCATCTGCAGGTGATGTGTTCAGATCAAGGTTCCATCTGTTTAGTAAAACACCAGGAGTGCCTGATGCAGAGGAGGAACTTAAACTGCTTCAAGCCTGACTTTAATGGGATAGATCTGTGGTTTGGCCACACTCTCCCTTCGTGGGAATGGTTGCAGCTGGGATGCTTCTGTCCCTTGGGTGCCCACCACTGGCCTCCTGCAGCAGAAGCTGCTCCTGCCTCAGTTCTGGTGACAGAACAGCAGGTCTACAACAGCTGCAAGAGCAGGACTGAGCTAGGGAAGCTGGGCCAACCTCAGTGCCCATGCTTGGACCCCAGGGGTGCATCCCTCTTTTCAGAGCCTGCCTGCCCTGCCAGGAGCCCACTCCTCCTCTCCCCTGCATGCCCTCCCTCTCCTCCCATCCTCCTCAGCCCCCACCACAGGTCCTGTGTCACGCAGCCTTCCCTCTGTCACACCTTTCGTGGTGGAACAGGGCACCTGCTGCAGTGGGGCCATGTTTTGGCTGCTGCTTAGTGCCTGTCCAATGCCAGAGGGCACAGGAGGGGCATGAGTGGCCTGGGCAACAAGCCACACCAGCCCGCAGGCTCTGACTGCACTGAGTGAACAGGTACCTCTTCCTTTACTTAAGAGCTCCCCAAATGTAATTATACCACTTCAGAACGTTCCATCTTAGGTCAGGCTCTGACATGTCCACGTTAGCTGTTTTTAGAAATGGAATGAGGGTGTTTTTCAACTGATGGATTTGCACTGGTGACACTCTGAACAGATGAAGCAGATGATGACAAACTTGAGGTTTCATGTTTGCACTTCTCTCTTCCCAAAGCAACACTGCAGGCTTGGTGTGTAAAGAGGCCGTTTCCGGCCAGCAGGTCTCATTTCTCCATCTGCTTTGCAAATCACACCAAGCTTCTGAGGAGACACCATCTATGGCAAAGCAAGTACATTAGTCCTGACTTACCCTGGAGCTGCTAGGAACAGGGATGTGACTGATCCCAGAGTGGCAAGTTCAAACTGCTGATGAACCAAGGAGAAAGTTACCAGCAGACCTGGAATTAGACACTCTGGGCATTCCCACTGTAAACTGCTCAGTTGCTTATAACTTTTATGATTGGAGCAGAAATTTTCCATCCTGGCTGTCCACCTACCTCTGATTTTTTATTTATTTGTTAATTTTCTTTTTGTATGTGGCTTCAGGCTGCACATTTAATCTACTCAGGGGAAAAAACAACAACCAAACAAAACAGAGCAAACGATTTTGCTTTAGACCGTTAATATGTATGTTAAAAAGAACAGTCCTTTACTAGGAAGAACTCCAGCCCGGCTGCTTTGGAGGAGGAAGAGAAGCCTATGAAGGAAACATCAAAGCTGTCCTCCTCACTATCCCATGAAAAATCCAGGCAGAATTTTGATTAATGATAAGCCTTTAAAAAAGTGCAAGGAGGACAGCAAGTCCCTTGGGGAAGTGAAGCACGGAGAACAGATGAGGGCAGGGAGCCTAAAGGTACTAAAACTGGTGTGGGGATTAAGACAGAAGGAATCATTAGGAAAAAAAGGGGTGGAAAAGGGAGAAAAGAACTGGCTGAATAATGTGACCAGACTAAAAATCGGAGCACATGGGGTTAAAGTCAAGACTGGCAGCTGTAGTGGAAGCAGGGCCTAGGGAGAGGGAAGGACGAGTTGAACAAGCAATCTAGTAGTGGGAGCTGTGGCAAAACCAGGAGAAAGGAGCCAGTGAAATGAGGAAAAAAGGGGAGTTAAAGGTGGTGGGAAGGGAGTAATGACACTGGACTTGGGGATAGGAAAGAACAAGGGCTGTGACAAGACTCCTTAAGGAGCCAGAGGGCAGGAGGTGCACTCAGGTAACAGGGCAAAGAGATTTGAGGTGGATGGGTGGGCAAGGAGTGGGCCAAGCAAGCACCAGGGTCTGTCCTGTTCTAGCAGCATAAGCAAACTCTCAGGTTCCTGCATCTCATCATTCCTGAGTCATGATTCCAGAGTGCTGAGGCTGGCAGCACTGCTACCCTGAAGTGCTAAAGGAGAGAAGGAAAAAGCCAGAAGGGATAAATTGGGGTGGATTCTACAGCAGCTTCCGAGCTGCCATTCTCCACATGTGAAAGAACACAAAGGAGTTACTCCAAAAAAAGGATCTGCATCCTTCACTAACTGACAGATGACATCCTGAGATCATCTTATGGGCAAAAGATCATCCCTCCTGGTCCACACATCCTCATCCACTCCCTTTCCATACTTGCTGGTAATGTCAGAGAGACCGAACCCAATTAATGAAGACTCATCTGGTTGACAAATCCTGCACTTTCAGGAGGTGGTGGAGTTACCAGAACAGAAAGAAAGCTCTTTATGCAGAAAAGGGTGAGGTGCTTCCAAGGTCTGTGCTGTACCTCTGCTTAATTCCTGCCCACAACCCCTTACAATGACACCTGCCCTCCACAGTATCTTGCTGCCCAGGCTGTAAAGGGTTTCACCACAATTGTTGATGGGGTCCACCCAAAATCTGTTGAAGGCTGTGATTCTTCTCCTTTACCCACCCTCTTCAAAAACTGTGGAGGACAGAGTGGGACAGGTTCAGAGGGACCAAGCCCTACAAGGTGTGCCATTCCCAGACATGTTTCTGGTGTGTTTGTTGACAGATGTGGTCACATAGACTTGAAGTAGAAGCAAGAACAGTATTAAGAAACCCCCCAGAACAACATCTGGGAACAACATCAGATGTTGAAGTTGGCCTTCAAGTCTTTGTGGTATCATTTTATTGAACAGAATTATTTCTCCAACAGCCACATGAACTCCACCCGCCAGCCAAAACAAGGATTGCCTTACCAACAAAGTTTCCAGTCTACTCTGCAGGAGCTGCATGTACAGCCAAGTGGAATCTCTCTTTCTGCAATTTGCCCCCCTTTATGGATGCTTCTTTCCTCCCCCTCCCCACAAGAAGCAGTGGGAACAAACAAAACACGAGAAAGAGATGCTGACTTTCCTTGACCAACTCTCTCTTCAAAATTATAGCCTGGAAATCACTCCCTAAGCTAGGGAACTTGAGATGAATTTGATGCTGATTTTGTGCAGGACAAGGAGTATCAACTGGCACTCATGAACTACGTGAGATCAGGAAGCTGTAACTCCAAGTGGCTGCAGGTTCAGGCACAAGCAAAGCCCCATGTCCAATTCCAACAGCCTCCCTCATCATGGCATGAGTCCAAAATGCAGAGAAAAAAGGCCATTTGGGACAATTTCCCCACATTCCAGACACAGATACACCGTGCTATGAAGATCCTGTGTTCTTGGTAGGGTCACTGTGCTGTCAGTGTACCAAAATGTTCCTCTGGTGAGGAGCACAAGCATCTTCTCCAGTAGGTCTTAGAGCTTTAGCTTGTTCCTTCAGGGCTTTGTTGCAGTGCAGTGTCTGATGTCTCACAGGCAACCCTGGCAATCTGAAACATAAAGCAGGACAACTGTCCTCCCCAGCACTCAGCTGTTAACAGGAACCCTGCATGGGGAAGGGCTGTCTGTCAGATTCTGAGCTTCCTACCCACCACCAACCACCCTGCACAGCCCAGCAGGCAGGAAAAGCACTACAAAGCTCAGACGGATCAGAACATCAGCACTAAGGAGGTTATTTCTCAGCACCACTAACACCATCCCCATGCTAAACCCAAGCCAGCAGTCAACACTTTTTTTGCAAAAGTAGTTTGTAGTATTTTTTTTTTAAATTGGTGAAGGCTATAGAAGGCTGCAGAAACCAACTCAAGGACAGAAACAGAAGTGGTGGAAAAGGCAGGCACAGTCAGTTTGTTTTGGTTGCTTTCCCAGCTGAATTGTGCTTTTGGTGCAAAATGCCTCTGGTTTTTAGAAGGGAATAGTTTTTCTTAGTACTTTTGGGCTGCATGTCTAGAAAATGAGATGAGGAAGGACAGCATGGAGGGAACGGAGTTGTACAGGGTCAGGTTGGAAGAAAGCAAAATGGAGAATTGTGTGACAGGGCCATCCTGGGCTTCAAAAATAGCTGAAGTGATGAGCCTGGCCATTTCCCTCTGAAGCATCGATGTCACCCTGCCTGTGGCAATGGTCTACTTATCAGATTGATGATGCATTGCTACTGGCAGTCACTCTGAAACAGCTAAAGTCAATAAATACCATTTCTAAATTAAGTAGTCAGAGAACTTTCCTATTGCTTCTCCCTTATTTAATTCTTCCTCGTCCGGTAAGTCATGGCTTTTCTTCCCCTCCCCATTAGGAGGCACAAAGTGCAGAATGCCAGAATGACCCATGGCACCTTTTTCTCTGTCTTAACCTTTTACTTTCTAAATTTCTCATTCACATCACCTCTGAAATAAGTTGGCACTTTCCTGTTGGTTACAACCAC